ACGATTGTACTAAATCAGTCACTATCAACCCTAATAAACTATCTCTCGGTACTGTCAACTTATTAACTGATATAGCAGCAAGTGGAGATGGGCCTGTGACAGATAAGACTGGTGTTGTTTTAGAAAAGATTACAGAAGAATCTCAGAAAGATAATGTTTTTCACCAGCCTGTAACAGAGGAAGTTGTCAGATGAAAATAGTGCTATTGTTTATCTCTACTATCATTGTATATATAAGATTTATAGATATTTAGAATCAAGGGAATATATAGGCTGTGTACAATAAAGATCCCTTGACAGTTAGAAATTTAAAAGAGTAGGCTAATACCACTGTCTTGGTAAAATTACTCTCATTGTACACTACATGGTGTTGCCAGTCAATTAGCCCAATTAGGTGCAGAAATCTCAATTTCATTAATTTTTATAAATATTTTATTTGATTTATCACCAGCCATACATTATGTTATATCTCTGAATTGAAATATAAATATTCTTATTCAATTTCTAAACCATCCTGGCCATGTATTCTCTTAATAATCTTAGTGCTAAGATATCCTAGAAATAGTGGTAGAAGATTACACACTAGCACTAAGATTGTTTCAAGAATACGAGGCCTAATGAGAATCTTAGCTTCTATTTTCTACTGTATAATTAATTACTTGACTTAGTTACTGTATCTTCTTGTACCTTCATATTGTCTTTATTTAGTGTCAATATCATAGGTTTCAGATATACAGGTTGAGACAACGTGTTGATTATACCATGTTAATATTATCACTGGTTTAAAGTTGGGTGTATAATTAATTACTTGACTTAGTTACTGTATCTTCTTATACCTTCTATTCCCCCTCTCTGACAGGAATTGTGCAGCTTGTTTTATATAATATTACAATAGTTATTACAAACTTCATCTTATACCTTGACTACAATAGTCACCTTTCTTATATCATGAAATGTAGCGATTTGTTTGGATTAAATGTAGCAACTACAGCCAATCAGAGTCACATAATTTTTACAGTCGTATCTGTCCAGGACTCTGATTGGCTGTAGGTGCTATTATACAATCCAACCAAATCGTTGCATTTAATAACTTACAAGAAAGATGGCAAATAGGAAAGCACCTTATTTATGCAATTAGAGAAACATCCCATTTATGCAATTAGGACAACACCCCTTTTATGTAATTAGAGAAACATCCCATTTATGCAATTAGGAAAACATCCCTTTTATGCAATTAGAGAAACATCCCATTTATGCAATTAGGAAACATCCCATTTATGCAATTAGAGAAACACCTCATTTATGCAATTAGGACAACACCCCTTTTATGCAATTAGGAAACATCCCATTTATGCAATTAGGAAACACCTCATTTATGCAATTAGGAAAACATCCCATTTATGCAATTAGAGAAACCACCCCATTTATGCAATTAGCGAAACATCCCATTTATGCAATTAGGAAAACACCCCTTTTATGCAATTAGGAAAACATCTCATTTATGCAATTAGAGAAACATCCCATTTATGTAATTAGGAAAACACCTCATTTATGCAATTAGGAAAACATCCCATTTATGCAATTAGAGAAACATCTCATTTATGCAATTAGAGAAACATCCCATTTATGCAATTAGAGGAAAACACCTCATTTATGCAATTAGGAAAACACCCCATTTATGCAATTAGAGAAACATCCCATTTATGCAAATAGACACACACTATATATATGCAATTAGGAAAACATCTCATTTATGCAATTAGAGAAACATCCCATTTATGCAATTAGAGAAACATCCCATTTATGCAAATAGACACACACTATATATATGCAATTAGGAAAACACCCCTTTTATGCAATTAGAGAAACATCCCATTTATGCAATTAGGAAAACATCCCATTTATGCAATTAGGAAAACACCCCTTTTATGCAATTAGGAAAACATCTCATTTATGCAATTAGAGAAACATCCCATTTATGCAATTAGGACAACACCCCATTTATGCAATTAGAGAAACATCTCATTTATGCAATTAGAGAAACATCCCATTTATGCAATTAGAGAAACATCCCTTTTATGCAATTAGGAAAACACCCCTTTTATGCAATTAGAGAAACATCCCATTTATGCAATTAGAGAAACATCCCATTTATGCAATTAGGAAAACATCCCTTTTATGCAATTAAGTAAACACCCCTT